ATTACAATGTGGAGACTCTGCAATAATTTAACAGAAGTGCTTATTTTTCACTTGAAATTTTTTTGTGGTCATTTTTATTAAGATTTTATTTTTTAATCGGCAGAGAATGAAATAAAACCTGTCTTCCAATTCATTGCATTTGTGTGTGTGTGTGTGTGTGGTAGAAGTATCGGTTTTTGTACTCTGTATCGGCAAGTACTCAGATCCAAGTATTGGTATCTTATCGGTTTGAAAAAATTGGTATTGTTGCATCCCTACTCCATTTATTTATTTTGTATCCCACAGACAAAATGTGACATAAAGCGAGTAATGTTCAGATTATTAATAACCCGAGAGTTCCAATAAAAAGACCGGCATGACTCACCTGCACAGACTTGTATGTGGTGATGAAAGGAAGCATAAGATGGAAACCAGGACCGCTGGTGGTGGTCAGGAGAGCCCCTCCCCTGTGTGACGCACAGTTAGAATCAGTAAAATCATTAAAACAAAAAACTTCCAACCTCAACCTAGACATTTTCCAGGCTTCAGAGGACTCATTTGTGTAAAGAGCTCCAATTAAACAGGAAAAAATATGCAATTGAACCAAATATTTACTGCATGTCCATGCAAGTGATGACATCCAAATATCCTGAAACTAAGCTGGCTTATAATAGCTAACAGCTGGTAATTACAGTGCTCACCGTGGGACAGACAAGACGCTAAAAGCAAACTGATCGGAAGCAGGTGCTTGATTCTGGAAAGTTGTGCAACAGAGGATTGTAACGCTAATCTCCCACATAATAAGTAAAACAGCTCACCTGTAGTAAACTCCAGTGTGCCCCTCATCAATCTTGTGCACGGAGGCCAACAGCGCTGCCCCTCCAAGAGCAGCAATTATTGAGAATACGGCACCCCACTGTGCCATCCTGGCAAGAAGACAGGAGAGACAGCATGTGAAAATAATGAGCAGATGGAGCTTCTCTTCTGGTGTTTTCACACCGACGGTCCTAATTACAATCAAATGCTCAAACAATCATCCAGCTACATGTCGCAGAACAACTGTCTATCCTGCCAGCGGGCCACAAAGTGCAGCAGTAACACACTGCAGCTTCCTTCTTCCTCACTGGTTTATCTCCTCTCAGCTCAGGCTTAGCCAGACATCAGCTGTGACCTTGTCACACTGAAAGAGGATTGAGCACCGTTGGCCTAGAGACAGCTCAACGCATTGCCACTTAAGAAAACACGTGCAAATAGTCAGAACGCGAGCCAACACAAACTCAAACGCGCCATGGAAGCAGCAACAAAAAAAATTTCCAAGTAAAAAGTTGAATTTGACATTTAAGCTGACAAGCAGCTGACTTCAATAACTTCAAAAGTCCTAACACATCGGAAAAAAAGCAAACAACAGCATCCTGGTCTGTTCATAGATTTTTAGTCGAGTTGTAGTTTTAATGTGCAACATCTGTCGCCAAATGAATGAAGACATGTTCTTGGCTGGCTGGTGTTTAGTCCATTTTTGTTTGTTTGGTTTTTTAAACTGGAGTATACTGAGCTCGTTTGTCACGGAGTGACACTTTTTACTTATGCTCCACACAGAGACAGTCCACAGAGCATCATCAGGCTGGATTTTTCAGTTAGGTAACTAAAGGATCGTTACTACACGTCTCACATCGCAGTGGAATGTGAATGATTCAGAAATTGTTCTCCAGGCTTCCCGGAAGAGATTCAAACTCCTTCTTTTGATGTTTCTGCCTTTTGTTCCGTTTCCTGTTAGGTTGATCCCACACTGCTTCAATAAAATTTGGATTCACAAGATTCCTTGTGTAATTTGGCAAATCTGTCTTTTCTCCCCGTTTCCCTTCCTTCAGAATGGCTTTGACAGCTACCTTCTCACTGAGATCATTTCTGATGCAACCTCAGCAAACAACTGGTGGGATCAACTAAAGGGCCCCAGGTCCTGTTTCAGGTCTTTGGAGTTTTTCCTATTTCTGAGGAACATAACTTTCATATTCTGCTCATCTGCATTAGATAGTTTTTCAGGCCTGCTACTTAATCTACTTAATATTTTGTCCTCTGTTTCTTTTTTTAATGACACTGCACACCATGCCAAGATGGGCCAAAACTTCAGCCAATAGTTCTTTGTGCCTGTAAAATGGTAAATGGCCTGTATTTGTATAGCGCTTTTACTAGTCCCGCCTAGGGACCCCAAAGCGCTTTACACACCCA